TTGTGTACGATGAATCAAAATGCATTCTGCTGTCATTTATACCTAATTAAAATAAATAAATTGAAAAATTTTARATTTGGAAAAATGAATAACATTAAAAAAATAAGCTAGAGGATGTCTTTTTTWAAAAATTAATTAAAYAAATAATATCCCCAGAGGAGAGAGGAGAAAGCTCCCCAAAGAGGAAACACCTAGGAGGAACACTGAAGCTAGTGATGCCAGATCAGTAAGCAATTTAAGGATTTGGTGGCAACCTTTCAATAGTGTTTCATTTTTAATAGCAAATGTCGACATGAGTACATTTAGCCCTACAAAGCATTGTTTTTAAACAGGCTCTCTTCTGAGCAGTTGAGAATGGAGCAGTATGAGCACAATTTGGAATATACTAAGCAAAACAAAGACATGTTAAAATTCTGTTTTGATCAATACATACAAGTTTTGAGTAGGAAAAAAGAAGGGTGGGGGGTTGCTTTGGYTTTTGTTGTCTATACAGAAATACTGATTTTTAGAACCTGGTTTTCTTTCCTGAGGGAAAGCCACCTCCTACACCGGGTTTCTACAGGTAAAGAAACAGATCATTTCCTTGAGAAAAGTATTGCAGCACGCTGTGATCTCACATCTATCTGGCGCAACTCCAGTCCCTAAGAAGGCTCCACATCGAAAGCTCTTCCTAAGAAAGTGGTCCACTCTCACAATGCTGTCTGGGCTATTGTGATGCAGGCTTTGTAGTTAGGGCAGATTCAGTTTGTGCCAGGCACAGGGCTCCAAGTACTCAAGAAGAACCTTGGAGATTATCTAGTCTGAAGGGGGGAAAAAATGACCTAGAAAAGCAAAGGAACCAGGCCAAAGTTCCACACTTGATGAAAACAGGTTTCTCTACAGTCGCACTACTGATTTATTTTACTACGAGACACTTCTTTGTGGTGGGGAGCTGTCCTTTGTATTGTGGGATGTATAGCTACATCTCTGGTCAATAGCAATCTCCTTGCTCAATACTGATAAAAAAAAAAAAAGAAAGAAAGAAAGAAAGAAAGTCTCCAGATGTTGCCAAATGGCCTTGGAGAGGAGGCAGAGAGGACAAAACTCTCCCGGTTGAAAACTACTGGGTTGAAACTGGTATGACCGGTAACTAATTTCTTCTGCCTCCCAACCTGGTGCTCTTTTCCTTAACACCATGAATACTTGTTTGCAAATATATATTTTGAAACTACAGAGAAGAGATTAATGCATTAAGCCAATGCTAATGCTGATTACATGCCAAGTAGTGTATTAATGACCTCTTAAAAATGAATCTTAGAAATGTGAACTGACAGTATTTATTAACCTGTGTGTGCCTGACATGAATGTCAACACAAGGACTGGGGATGTAGCTCAGTGATAGAACAGTAGCCTAACATGCACAGGGCCCTTGGTTCTATCCCCAGTACCAACAGAGAGTGAGAGAGTGACACAGACAGACAGAGGAGATGAATGTAAACATGTATAGCATAGAGATCTACAAAAGGCCAAAACTATGGAATCTTGGGGTTGGGTAAGGTACAGTAATGTCACATTAAATATACCACAAGGAGAAGTCACTCTACAAATGGTAAACTTTGCTGTCAGACTTAGGCAAATTCACTACACATTGTATCTAAATAGGGAATCATCTTTTTAAAAAATAGAAACCAAAAGGGACCTCACTATCAAACTGTTTAATCATCTTATTGTAAGGACTGAATACTCAGTTGAAAGAGCTGAGGTTTCCTAAACTAGTGGGTCAGATTCCTGGTAACACAGATGAGAAAACCAGGTTCATGAATAAGTGGGACACACAGATTCTAGTACCAACAGCAGCCTCYGATTTCAGAGTTCCCGTTAGTTATGTTGTTTAGACATTACCTGTTTCTCTTTTTCCGGTGTTCTCTATTGGAATTTTCGGATTCACTACCACTGCTTGTGTTACAGCGTGATCGAGACCTGAAGACAAAAATGAGAAGAGCAAAGGAGAAAACCCAGGTGTAAGACAAATGAAAAGTTTCAGAAAGGTTCATTTGGTTCTTCCGAACTAATTTTGCAGTCAAGTTACTAATCCAAACATAAAGAGCTATCTTATCCCTCTCCCAGTCAGTGCTTCCGACCTCAGTCAGACATCAGAACAAGACTACAGCCCAGGGAAACAGCAAGACAGGGGAAAGATGGAAACAGATTAAGGCAAATGTCATCATGTTTCCAGAAAGGACCACAAAAACTAACAAAACTCTGCCATGGCAAAGCTGTGAGTCCTGTGGTGACTAAATATGGAGGAAGAGTCTCACCCCTCCCTACCCCTATACAAAGAGCCTGGGTTTATTTCTTCTGCCCTTGAATTTCTATAGGTTCTGTGACTGATTAATGAGGTGTGAAAGATACTCTGCCAATTCCAGAACTATCCCTTAAAAGGACTRACTGCTTCTGCTCCCTCCCAGCCACCATATAAAGAGGTCCAGGCCAGCCATGCAGACAGATCAGATAGAGAGGTCTTAGGCCTCAATCCTTCTGCCAAAGTTTCAACATGAGACAGAAAGAGCTGCTAGACAACCCAGCCTCTGCCACCATCAATCACAGCCTCATGAGACCCTGAGCAAGACCAACTAAAGAACTGCCTTTCACTGGACAGAATTAAACTATACRTAAATATATAAATAAATATATATGTGTGCATATAGTACACACATAAAGATATGGCTGTTGTTGCTTTAAACCACACCAAGTTTTGGAATGATTTATAAACTAGCAATAYTTAACTGATAGCTCCTCTGAAACACAAAGGAGCAGGAAGAAAAAGAGAAATGTCTAAGGATAGAACAGAATGGAAGACTGAGAACCAGCTGAAACCAGTCAGTGGGAAAGTTTTAAAAAAAAAAAAATCCCATTCTTTCCTCAACTCTGAGCTAATCTGCTAGCCCTTCCCTGCTCTCCCCGACTCTTCCATTTTTGCCCATTTTTGGTATTTTACCTCCTTCTTTGCTTTAGATCTGAGTCTTCACCACTGTTATGGGCTTTCCTATGGAAAACAAAAGAAGACATTAAAGAAAACAGAACATTATCAATTGGCTAAGGAAAGCATATCAAGACAGGCTTCACTGCAGTTAATTCATGTCTGTTATGTGTCTGTTGACTTACCACACAGTTATGTCTCAGAAACACAACATACCACCCTCTGGCCTCAGGAAGCCAGAACTCTAGAGGGGGCTGCAGTCTACAAATAGCAACAAGTAGCTGTTAGGTTCCATTCAGCCAATGGTGGTGTAAGTCTGCAGTTTATAGGCCTGCAATCCTCTAAACCAATTTCTGCCATGGCCTAACTGATATCAACTCTTTTTTTWWWAATTTTTATTTTTTATTAATTGCTTGAGACAATACAATGATCTTGACATATCATACATTTGATTCAAATGGGGTATGAACTCTTATTTGGATGACCTTGTTCAACATCCTGTCCTTCAAGTCCTTCTACTGCTTCTCTAAAACTCTCCCACCACAACTCAGCAACGTATAGTATGGTTATACATTGGGCCACATCATCTATAACCACCTCCAAACACTTTGCTCCCTGACCACAATATCCTCTTCTTCTTGTTCACCACTTCCCACTGACCTTCAAGCAGCTCCAATGGGGCATCCTGGTTCAAGTGCAGGCTCCAAAGTCAAAACAACCTGAATGTGAATCCCATCTCCTCCACTGCCAAGTTGTGTGATTTAAACAAGTTACTTCTCTACTTAGTACCTCACTTTTAATAAACCTCCCATAAAAGGTTGTTATGAGGAGCAAATGAATTAAATGCACAGCAGGACCTGGGCCATTATAAGCACTCTATAAATGTAAGCCGCGATCATTACTGTTTACTCAATGATTTTCATTATGCCCTTTCTTTGATCCCAGTAAGGCTTCCTATTGACCTTACCACTTTCCACTTTCACTTTTCTTCACTGTCCTCCTTATCCAACTTAGATTTCCTAGTCCCCCATTTCAATAACGTGCCTTTCACTGCATCTTTTTGCAAAACATCACACATGGGTAAATCCAACTACCCAGGTTCTCTCCAAATAGTGAGCTGAGAAGTGCTGGAGGGAGTTCACAAGAAAGCATCTTACTACAACAGAAATCTAATTCATAAACCTCCAGGGGGGCCACAACATGGTCCAGCAATCTCACCACCATTTTCAGACCCAAGGACTATGTTTCTGAAAAGCAGTATTAATTCCTTCTCTTGGACTCCTGGCCCATGGTACCTCTGCTTCAGCATATGACTTTTCTTTYTCCTTCCAAAGGAAAAAGTGTCCATGCGACTCTTTCTTCTTCCTGCTACCAAATCTCAAAACTTACCAAAATATTTCAGTTATTTATGAATCTATCCTGACAACTAAGATTAGTCCTTCCACCTTCTTGTGGCAACTCATTGATACAATATTTTTCTTTTTCTAAAGGTAATAGTTTTAAAATTTTTTCTTTATTTCTTATATCATCTATTTCCTGTGAGTTCCCCTTCACTGCATTCCTTCCTCCCTCCCTCCCTCCCTCCCCCCACTCTCTCTTTCTCTCTCTCTCTGCATCTCATTTGTTTGTTTCAGTSGGCCTTTTAAGACAGAAGCCACCCTCATACACAGTTCATAATGGCTTTCTCTTCCTATCTCAGCACTAAGCAATCAAGAGACCACAGCCATCTAGATGTGCCAAGCATGTTAACTGATACCTTTGCTGTAATGTGAGGCAGCCTCTACCACTTCATTGGGGATCCTTTCAAAGTCAGGATCTGTAGGTATTTCTCTTGTACCTGTCTCTTTTTTACAGTAGAATTTTCTCATCTCATGCTTGGGAGATAAAAGCCTAGCTTCTAGCATTCTAGGAGTGAAGAAAGAAGGGTCAGAAATACAGCCTGCTGCTTGGTCTCTCCATTTCCAAAACTAGCCTCTTTCACTGTTTCTCCACAGGACAGTAACTTTACAAGCACAAATGCAATCATGCTATCATACTCCCTTATAACAACTACTGGTCTAAGAATCAAATTCCTGAACAAGCCCAGATGGGCTATAAAGTCTGTCCCCATCTTTCTCTCTGGACTCATCTATATTTTTATTCACTCTCAGAATCTGAACAACACTGTCTTCTTTCCTTCTCATGAATGCTTTCTGTTCCCTTCTACTACCTCTGGCTGGCATGATCTTTCCTTTTCTTTTGCTTTTATCTCAGTTCCTGGTTCACATGCCTAGCTTCAGGAAATCCTTGCTTGATCCAGCAAACTTCTCTTAATAGTAGTAGTTGTACAGGTGTTTGATTTGTTAAAATCTACCAAGCAGTTATGCTTATGATATATGTGCTTTTCTGTATGTATGCTAGGTTTCAACAAGATTTTCTTTTAATTCCTCTAAGTAAAAGATAATGTACCTTCACATAACTTATTAAAGTCACCATTGCACTTTTTTTGTATAATACATAAATTTCTCCTGTAACATCTGGTAAGCTCTCAAAGGACAAGAATTTTGTCAGTGTTGTTTAGCATACTACCCGGCAGACTAATGGCACTCAATAAAGATTTTTAACGTAAAGATGGAAGCTGTGCAAATACATTGTACTTCCAGAACATGTGCTGGTTATCTTTTCCTAGAACAGAAATGTTAAAACAAGCAGGTTTCAGGATCTCCATAAACCCTGAAAACTATATGAAAATGTTTATATGTACCTTTTTCCCCTAGGGACTGAACACAATGCTTTATCAGATTCTCAGAGGGTTCTGTGGCCCCCAAAAAGTTAAGGACCACTAAAGTAGACTTGGCCAAAATTTGATAGCGTACATCCAACTCATGACAAACAAGTGACAAATAAGAAATTTTGGTATCTTTTGCAAAACATATTTACCCTGGTATCCAAAGCAAAATAGAACTTCCTATTATTAACTGTAAATTCTTGAGATTCTTCCATGCTGATGACAAATCTCAGTTTTAAATGTCAGAGTTAATCCAGTAATGAAGGGATTTGTGCCCAGGAGCAAGGTAAATTTGTATGAAGATAAAACAAGACTAACAAGGACAGGGACATTTATAGGTCATTTATAGTGGAAAGAAACAGAAAACAATGCACTTTAGCTCTTCTACGCCAACATGCAGCAATGTCTGGTCTTCTCAAAATGAACATGCCCATCAAGAGATCTTTAAGTGGCATGCAGAACAGACAGAAGTCTCTATGGATACTTAGGCAAAAAGATTCTCTTCTCAATAAATTTAAGTGGTCCTTTCCCAGGAATATATGCCAGTGAAAGGATCCTGTAACCACTTTCTTCAAATGTTTCTCTGTATTTCACAGGAAGCCAGCAGAAAACATATCTCAGTATAGAAGTCATTAAGTTTGGACTTGGGAGTGTATATAGTCCATATAATTTCAAACAATTTGAATTTTTATATTCCTAAGCAAATCTTGGTGAATTTATTTTCAAATGTAGTAAAATCAAAATGATTATTTAGCATATGAAATAATTTTATTTAGGGAGTGCTGACAAATTGTGCTAATAATTACAGATGAAAAGCTATAAAAATCTCCCCACTGGACAATAATAATACAACGTCAAGTCCTTAATACATGTAGTCCTTTCCACCACTTAATGCTCTAAAAACACACAAACACAAATTGGGCTTTAAAATGTTTTGTAGTGACGTTGCTTTGGTTTTAAGAGTTGTACAAGTTGAACAAACTCTTGGTGTCTCAAGGAGAAAGTTTAGTAAGGGCAGGATGGAGCCTTATTTAAATGATTCATTATCCCCATCTTTTTCTGACCTACAGACCTGGATTCAATTTCCATATGTGCCACAAAAGACAAGCTACTGCCATTTCCCTCAGCCTGTTTTCTCATCTATGGAAAGGAGACGATAATGCTGGCCAGGTATTTTTCATTGGTAATCATCACCATACTGACCCACCAATAATCTCCCCTTTTTTGGTAAGACTGGAAACTAAGAAGTTATATTTTCCTGGACTCCCTTGCCAGCTGGGTTCTAGTTAGAGAGGCACTCAGGCAAGATTTGAAGGTAGGAAAAAAAGGGGAAGTGATTTTGCTTCTGGCAGAAACCGTGGCATCCACTCCTACATTCCTGAAAAGTGGGTTCCAGAGCTTTCCCTAGAGTGGTGGTGCCTCCAGCAATGTCAGCAGCAGTTCAGATTCAGGAAGGCCAGCTCAAAGGCAGAAACAGCTCTGGTTTCTGGACAATAACAACCCCTTCTCTCCTTGTATTCCACCAGTCCAGGGAAAGATAGCTGGGTTATACCATTCTCCACCTTTTGTGCCTCAAATCCTACTCACATCTTTGTACCAATTCCCTGAATAATCCCTCTCTACTAGAAATACCTCATGACTGTATCAAAATGCCAGTTCCCAGACAGCTATTCTCAGAATCAAGTGAGATACACAGCAAACACTTTGCGCAGTACTTGGAATGTAATAGACACTGAACAGACACCAGCCATTACCCAGTGTTCTAACCCCTCACTGTTGGCCTGATCTAGCTCCCTCTTCTCAATCCTACTCGGTGAAGGGCATGTAGACTCTTCTTCACCATCAAAGGGTTTGAGAGAAGTTGGACTTAACTTGGGAAAGCTGGGGAGCAAGAATGGGAAATTGACAGTAAAAGATATCAAAGGGGAGGATGAACAAGCCTGAACAAGGGCACAGGAGAGAGGAGGAGTCGGYTTCTAAACCCACAATGTGCATAAAAAGAGTCTTGATGGTTATCTGACATTATGACCTGAACTTTTAATAATTATAAAAGCCACTTATGTGACTTTATGTGGGGTGGCCAAAGTAATTTCCCCTGAGAAGTGAAAGAAATTCCATTGGTAAGTCATTTCTAGGGCTTCCTCTCTTGCACCTGTCACATTACTCTGCCTGCTTTGCAGAGTCCAAAACTTACAAATGTATAAAGATTAGGTATACATACACAAGAAAAATCACACGAACGTTCTGAGCTGCTATGGCAAAGATAACAGGATTCATTTTCTCCGTGCTTTGAAAGGGTTTCACTGGTATTTATGTAATGCTGTAAGTCTGTTGTGCTTAGCAGCCGGGCTTGGCTAAGAAACATGATAACTGTGGCTTTGTCCTCCCAGGTAGAAATATTTAATATATATTATTTATACTATATAACATACATRTTACACATATCATTAGCATAGTACATATAAGACATATTTTTTAAAATATATTAATTAAAATACAGAAAGCAAGTTCCCATTGATATTTCATCATTATTTCTCTAAAATTCTGACTGTTTCAGATAAATGCTTCACCATCCCTAATTTGCTTTATCTCAAAAAAGAATGAACTTCCTGTTACCTTGAGAAGATGACCAGTAATGGCATTCTGAGAATCACCTGTTATAATAGCACACCTGGGACCCAAAGCGTTTGCTGAAAACTGCAAACAGAGGAGCTGTGCTCAGCTTACCTTCTCCTCATTGGCTGCAGAGAGTCATTGTCACTTCCACAAGAGGGGTTTCGACGCCGCGCATAGGGGAACTTTGGTGATTTAGTGCGGTCACTGGGAGAGTTGTAGAGCCCACTGGAGTGAAAGAGGAATGGTCAGCATGTCTACTTGGAAGTTCTTACAAGATCTACACAGCAGGGGACATTATCATTAAGGTGTCATTTAGAGTTTGCAGAACGTTATCGTACTCTAAACCATCCTAATGAACTTTCAGATGATTTCTTAACTTAGTTTTCCCTTCTGTCTTTTCAGGAAAAATGTTTCACATGAAGAGACATACTATTGTCATGTGTGGTGGCACACACCTGCAATCCCAGTGACTTGGGAGGCTGAAGTGGGAGGATCCCAAGTTCAAGGCCAGACTGGGTATCTTAGCAAAACTCTGTCTCAGAATTAAAATTTTAAGAAGGCCTGGGAATGTAGCTCAATGGTAGAGCCCCCATGTGGTCAATCCCCACTACCCACCCCTGCTCCCCACAAACAAACCATACTATTGATTTCCACTTCAGAAATTCCCACCAGTCATGTTAACTTAGAAATCTCCCCAAGTGAGCAATCACATAGTGGTGGGATTCCTTTAGTCAGTGAGCTGAGATTGCTATCTCCTTTTGTTACTGTTCTTTATAAAAAGAATGAGTCCCTTTACCTCTGGGGGCCATTTTCTTCCCATGGTGCTTGAGATTTGTTTCTTTGGGTATCAGGGCTGTTTTCATTCTTTACTTTCTTAAAGCTTTAATTAAAAAAAAAAAGAATAGAAGATAAATTAACTAGAAAACAAAGGGAAGTAAATCCACATACTGATTTCTTTAGTAAAATTACTCAACAAGTGCTAAGGAGTGTGTGTATGTGTGTTTGCTTGTTCATACCTGTGACTCATTCCAAAAAGAACATGAGGTACCTGCCTGAAAAAATATATTTCTCCATCAAGTTCCACTGGGCTTCCTCCTTGCTTCTAGTTTTACTGCTTTAGGTCAACAGAAGGCAGGTCTATCATTTGTTAATAAACTTTCAAGTGTCCACCTCAGGACAGGAAGGAAGCAAGGATAACAACAAAATCAAGGAGAGAAGCCAGCAGAGGAGGAAGGAGACCTGGGCCCCCAGGATTATGTGACTGGCGCCCTCTGGGCAACACTGGTGCAGACTCCCTGGCTCTGGACTCAGGTCTGAATCTGTGGAGGTCAGTCAGCCCTAGGCAGGCTCAGGCGGCCCAAAATGACCTTTCCTCAGCTTCCGCTAAATCTTGGCTTCATCCTTCCAGATCAGAATTACTTTCAAATGCTATTTCCTGACTTAGTATCATCTTTCTGCCCTAAGAAGGTAAATATAACTGAGTTGTTATTCAATCCCAACAAATTGTTTTAGAAACACATAGGAAGGCGACTCTTCAGAGGTCACCAGTTGGGGTGGAGGGGTGTCACTTCTCCCTTCATCAGGAGTCTAAGCTCCAGAAAAAGGTAAAGCTTCTTAACTCCTAACTACTTTTAACCCTGGCTTTTTGAGAGATCCTAGAATAGGAATATAGCAGAGTTCATAATTCTGACAAGGTCATTTCAAAAGGAAAAGAAATGAACTGGTACCCTAGCATACTATATCCATACAGGAATTAATAGACACCTATGAAATAATACATCCAACAAAGGCATATATGCCATAGTCTTGGTAGGTAGCAGGTACATTTTATATAGGAACAATATATTATTTTTATAAAGGTTTAAAAAAAATCTAAAGTTCAAATTCCCAAAGTAAAAGTTTATCTTTTGGAATGAGAAAAATTAGAAAATATGGTGACGATTGAATACAATAGTAGAAACTGTGTGTGCATTTAATAAATAAGAAAGAAAAAGCAAGAGGTGGGGAGTAGGAAAAAAAAAGGAGATGAAAGAGGAATTGAGAGTAGACCGACATTAATAATAATAATGAAATCGCAGGTTAATTCCATGTTTTCCCTAAGCTGTTTCACACCTGGAGCTTCAGTGGTAACTTGGAGCCCTCAGGTGTCAGTACTACCCCTAAGCAGGAATGCAGTCGCAAAGGGGATTGAATTCCTTTATGTATGCTCTAAAAGACCCAGAATCTGATCTTCAAGGAAGATTACTGTTCTGATGCTGGACCCACTTTAAGCATACCCTATATGTGCAGAAGACATTGACTCCCTGTTCGTAAGTGTGAGGTCAACCAGCAGAGACAGTAGATGGAAGTGTATCATTCAAAGAATCTGTCATTCCAGATGCTGGGGTTGGGGTTGTAGCTCAGTGGTAGAACACTTGCTTAGCATGTGTGAGATCCTGGGTTTGAGTCTCAGCAACACATATAAATAAAATAAAGGTTCATTTACAACATATATATATATWTTTTTTAATTTAACAATTTTAAAAAAGAATGTGTCATTCCAAAAAGGAAATCTGTAATATCTTGGAACTGAAAAAAAGTTCATGTAGGTAGGCAAAACCCTGCGAGAAACTGCAAAACTCTGAGAATCTTCATATCTTAAAATAATCTTGTGAAGTGCAACTAATATGGAAAGCAGTATGGAGATTCCTTGGAAAACTTGGAATGGAATCACCATTTGACCCAGCTATCCCACTCCTCGTTTATTATACCCAAAGGACTTAAAAACAGCATACTACAGGGACACAGCCACATCAATGTTTACAGCAGCATAATTCACTATGGTTAAACTGTGGAACCAACCTAGATGCCTTTCAGTAGATGAATGGATAAAGAAAATGTGGTATATATACACAATGGAATATTACTCAGCATTAAAAGAGAACAAAATCATGGCATTTTCAGGTAAATAGATTGAGTTGGAGAATATTATGCTAAGTGAATTAAGCCAATCCCCCAAAAAAACAAATGCCGAATGTTTTCTCTGTTATGAGGATACTGATCCATAACAGGAGGCATGGGAGAAATGGAGGATCTTTAGATAGGGCAACGGAGAGGGAAGAGAAAGGAAGGGACAGCAGGGTAGGAAAGACAGTGGAATGAGATGGACATCATTACCCCAAGTACATGTATGAAAACACAAATGGTGTAAGTCTACTTTGTGTACAACCAGAGACATGAAAAATTGTGATCTCTATATGTACTGTGAATTGAAATTCATTCCGCTGTCATATATAACAAATTTGAATAAATAAATTTTAAAAATATAATATTGTGCAGAAATTATTATTGTGCAGGAATTATAAACTAGATTCCTCAAAGTAGCCACACTCTAGCTAAAGGAAGACACCAACATTTACTAACAAAAGATGGAGTCAATGATGTAAGAAATCTCTGCAGGTCACGTATCTATGAGTGCCTGAACTTCTCCATGATGTATGGGGGCAACCTCTAAAGAGAAAGCCAGCCTATGAAAGCAGCTCATTGTATGTTTCTAATGCTACTCCATGAACATAATTGGAGATAGGAAAAAAAAATGACCCTGAAACAGTGTCTGAAAGGAGAACAAGGCAGATCTTTCAGGAAAACAATCCATGTAATATATTAAGAGAAGGTTTTTCCACTGGGGAATGCCTCTGGGGAAACTGATGCAGAAGACCGTAACAACTCTTCATACATATGCAATTGCTGACTTCTGAGGCTCTGATGCTTCTACATGCTATAAACTCTCTTTCCGGGGCCACAGTTCCGTGCCCTACTGTAATGAACACAGTACATTACACATARATATCATCTACTTTATTTCACAAGTCCCTGTGAGTTAGTCCATTATATCACACCAAAAAAATCAACATGGAATTTTCACTTTGCTGTTGCGAATGCAGACCACGGATGATCTGTGAGTTCATCACACTGACAGTAAAAGCATTTTCTCCAATAAGAGAGGCAGGTCTTGATGTTTAATATTTCACTGGCATTTTAAAATAGTCCTTGGCCCAGAGACTATCTACAGGACCCATGGATCAAAATCAGTTAATTATCAAAGTGAAAAAATTCTTAACCTTGCCAACAAGGACATATGACAGCGTATGGTTGCATATTTCTTTAGTAACTACTGACCTTTTTATTGGTGAAGGTGCAATAATTTTAGTTGTTCCTTCAGTTTCTCCATTTTCCAGGTTTGCAGTTATCCGGTTTATGCTGTTTGATCCTATTAGGAAAGGTAAGGAAGAAAACACGAAGGAGAGAAAGGAGACAGAGATAAAGAAAATAAAGAAACAGAAGAATTAATTAATTTATTTATTTAGGTAATAGGGATTGAACCCAGTTTTACTCTATCATGGAGCTTCATCCTCCACCCTTTATTTATTTATTTTTTTCTTTTTTACTGGGGATTTAACCCAGGGGTGCCTAAACAACAAGCTACATCCCTAATCCCTTTTATTGTTATTTTGAGACAGGCTCTTGCTAAATTGCTTGGGGCCTCACTAAATTGTTCAGGCTGGCCTTATATTTGTGATTCTCCTGCCTCAGCTTCCCAAGTTGTTAGAATTACAGGTGTATCCCACCATGCCTAGCAGAATTATTACTTTAAAATGCAATTTTAGGGACACTGTGGCACATTCTACTCATAGGTTATAACTCCCAATAAATAAWGAACCATCCAAAAAATGTGAGGTACTATTTTCTTTCCTCCCTCCCCCCACCACCTTTTTATTTTCCTTTTTGGTACTGGATATTGAACCAGGGGTACTTTACCACTGAGCCACATTGATAGTCCTGTTTTTCTACTATGAGATAGTATCTAAGTTGCTGAACCAAGTCTCAAACCTTCAATCCTCCTGCCTTACCTCCCAAGTTGTTGGGATCACAAGTGTGCAAGACAGTGCCCAGATATGAGGTACTAGTTTTGGACATGTACTAACCACTCAACCATATTCCAGAAGTCTAGGCAGTGACTTTTTGATACTTTCAGAGTAAATTAAGTTCCCATATAACGGACATTATTTACTTTGTTATATTATATAAGATTCTAGGATATTTAATACCATATGTTGGAATATAAAACAAAATAGTTCTTGGTAACTATATTGTGAAGAAATTCTCAGCATGACATGAGAGCCCCTGTCTGAAATCAAACCAAAAAGAAGGAAAAAAACCAAACCTGAAAATATCCCTATTCATAATCTGAATAGCAAAACAGAGTAAGATAGATGTTATGTGTATCACTCACATACAAAACAAATTTTCCAAATGTGTTTTTTTATGCAAACATTTCTAAAAACCTAAAACTGAATTTTTAAAAGCAGTTATTTCACAGATTTGCATACATGCTAGATGGACCAGCAGAGGGAGCCCACAGCAGATGCGATGTTAGAAATCATGGTCAAAATAAAGATAAGTGAGACACTAGTTTTGAAGCTCTGGATCCTGTTCTCAGGGCAGAGACTGAAAAGCCTTTAGGACTGAGATGCATGGGCTCTGGTGACAACTTTTCTCCAGTGTCGATGACTTGGGAAGAGGCAATTCTGATGAGTAGGGGAAACAGCCATTGAGGATGCCCATATGCCTCAAATAAGTTTATGTGGCACTCAGGAACTTCTTCCTCAGGGTTGCTCTTGCAGGTATATGTCCATAGAACACTTGAACACAAAGCATACTCATCACTAACCTCTGAGGGTTTGAGTTCTGAAGATGAGTTGGCAATATTAAGAAAGCACTAGTATTTATTGAGCACTTACTATGCATCAGGTATTGTTTCAAGCGCTTTACACATATTTACTCAGATAATCCCCCCCAAAATCCTATGAAGTACATACTAATATTATCCCATTTTCAAAGATAGGTCCCATATCCTAAGGCCACATAGCTTTGAAACTGAGCAGACTGACTCAAGAGACTTTCCTATCACCCACCACAATACACTGCTGTCCATCTACCATGTAGGCCCCACCTAAGAACAGYCCAAAAGTCAGTTTACATTATGGGRCAACAATAAGAGAGAGATCCTTCAGAGGACAAGYGAAAGGCACATCCARTGAAGAGAGYATTTGATAAACAACTAAGAGAAGAATTCCTTCTCTCACRGACAACCAAGACTGAAAGACAAGAAGAACATCTGAGCACTCCAGAAATTGGCAACTTCCTTCCAGAGGAGTTTGGAAGCATGTCTGGTTACCCACCTGGAAACAGAGGCATTAATAAATATGCTTTTACACAGAAAACAAATTTCAAATAAGAGTTCTTAAAACTATTATTCTAAGGAATCCAACGGGGATTCAATATCTGAACTTTGTTCCTGTTTTGGAATCTGGATATGGAACAGGTGAGTCTGATATATCCAGAACTAAAAGGTGAGTTTATGATGCAGCCAGTAAGAATAACTGAACAACATTCCAAATTCAATGTTATAAAGAGTAGCCATGGGGTAAATTTTGCAAGATATAATAAATGGGACACAACCCAATCCCTTGAACTACTCCATGTGTATTGAATGTGGACAGTGTCATTGTCTAAGTCACTTTTGCCATGGCCACATCACCATTAAAATCRCAAGGGCTAACTCTCAAAATTGCAGATGCAGACCTGGGATGGAGCTGCTTTTCACCTGTGGAACCCCATGTGGTACTTACTGCCCTGGAGCCAGGGCAGGAGAGGTTAATTCATTTGTGTACCAGACAGTAGGTGTGGCCTAACATTAATATTTTTAATTGTTACTAATGAGCTTTGTTTAAATGTGGTATTGTTTTCAACAGGTATTACTGATTTACAATATTAATGAAAGAAACCTTCATGTAATAGGGCTGTTTACACAGGCTAGGGAAAGGAGGATACATCAGAGAGACCAATTCCCAGTGCCACTGATATCAATCGCAAAAGAGCAGAGTAAAGGTGAACATTATGTCAGCCAAAGCCCTGTGTAACTAGCTTAAGACTAAACTATCATCCCTCTAGACTGACTAGTCTTTTCTTAGTCTCACAATCACTCACTTTAAGGAAAGTGAAGTTGTTTAAGCACACTTAGTCTACTTCCAATCAAATTTTCCAAAATTAATGAATAAGCTAAAACTAAAACTGAAGAATACCTTCACATAGAAAAATTGCATGCTATGTTTATATGTACTCTTAAAGAAATTAATATTTGATTATTTGCAGAATCCTAATCATAATTTTTAAAATGAAATACAAGCTTTTGTCAGRTATGATGGTGCAYGCCTATAATTCTAGKGGCTCAGGAGGCTGAGACAGGAAGATTGTGAGTTCAAAGCCAGCCTCAGGAACTTGTAGTGAGGCCCTAAGCAACTTGGCAAAACCCTGTCTCTAAATAAAACATAAAAAACAGGCTAGGGGTGTGTGGCTCAGTGATTAAATGCTCTTAGGTTCAATCCCTAGTACCAAAAAATACACACACACAAACACACACACACACACACACACACACACACACGATTTTCCAAAAGAATTTACAAGCATGCTCTTGTCACAGACACTCAGAAGCAGTATGGCAAGACTTGAAAATAAATTATTCAACCGTCAGGACTAATTTACTAACATAACTCTCATCCATACAGCACAAATGAGATACGTTGCTATCAGTAAAACAATCTAATTCATGGTTCTTTTATATTAAAATTTATAAACTATTCATCACTTATATGCATGGTCTGTTTTTTTCTGTACTAAAAGTCCATTTATATGTCYTCTCCTGCTTCACAGCTATGTGATCCATACAATAACAGAACTACACTTAAAAGCATTAACTTACTGGAAGCATTTCTGAAGTATCCATTTATACGCTAACCTTAACCCCAATTCAACAATTAGCTTTCTTTAAGGTCACTAAATATGCCCTTAAAAGTAGTACCTATCCTCCTAATCAGTTAAAATTAGTGAGATTTTGCCATACCACCATTTAAGGAGAAAGTAAATCAATTCAGTAATGCTAGGACATTTGGTTACTGAAGTTTGCAGAGAAATTTAGGTGATACATTATTTAGGTTTACTGATTTTTCATTTTACCAACATGCACTACTAACTCTGTTTTCTTTCTCTAAACTTTTTTTCCCCCTCATCAGACCACCTTCCAGAAACAATCTTCTATATTAGGTGAGAATTTGGGTTACAGAGAAGTATGATCTGACCAACTCATTCCTCTGAAGGATTCATGTTTTCATTTATACGAGTTATAAATTATAATAAGACTTAAAGAAAAGAGTAAAACACAAATATAAACAACTTAATGGGTAATGACAAAGTAAATAATTTAACTACCATCCACTTAAAGAATTAAAACGCTGAGCCAGATGTTGAGGCACATACCTGTAACCCAGGGACCTGGGAGGCTGAGGCAGGAGGATTGTAAGTTCAAGACCAGACTCAGCAACTTAATGAGACCTTGTCTCAATTTTTTTTTTTTAAAGGGCTGCGGAAGTGATGGGAGGGGAGGGGAGAGGAAGTGAGGAAAGGAAGGACAGTAGAATGAAATAGACATTATTATTGCTGTGTGTATATACGTGACTGCATGACCAATGTGATTCTGCAACCTGTACACTCAGAAAAATGAGAA